CCACCAAGCCACACCCACAGAACTGGTAGTGAAAAAAAATGAATTTCACCACAGGCGTTGTGTGAACAAGTGTAAACTCTTTGGCAGGGTCCACCAGGCGAAGCCATCCAGCCCCTGCCAATCCAGCGCCACAAGAAGAGCCGGCGCTCGGTGGATGGTAGCCAGCTGGTGCCAGAGGAGGTGGAGGAGATGGCGGCCGACGGGGCAGCGGGACAGCCGGCCTCCCGGCGCGTGGAGGAGATCTACGGCTCCCTGGAGTCCCTCCGCCAGGAGATCGAGGGGATGCGGAAGCCGCTGGGCACCCAGGACAGCCCTGCCCGCACCTGCCAGGACCTCCGGCTGAGCCAGCCTGAACTGCCCGACGGTGGGTGTAACGGGATAACAGAGGTGGGAGGGACCCTACAGCCTTTCAGACAAAACGCTGTCTGGTCTCTTCTGGAAAAGAGGCCTGCTTGCCTCCCCCAGGGCGATTCCCTAGCCCTCCCGCCTAGACCCACATGGCTTCTGTTCTGGGCAGGGATTGCAACCCGATTGGCAAGGCGGCGTGTCCCATGGACTCTGTTGAGCCGCTGGTGCCTTCGTCAAAACCCAGAAGCTGCTGGACTAACTACAACACCCAGCAGCCCTTGCAAGTGGAGGAGGGGGGAAGCCTCAGATCTGTCATCCTCCCTCTCCCCACGCTGGGACTCCACCCGGGGTTTTCCCTGGAAGCCCTTGGGGAAACCTTGGGAAGCCAAATGTGAAATCCTGGGGGGATATTCACACTCCAAATCACCTTCACCATCAAACGGTGCACTCTTTTTTTGGAGGGGGGGGGGATGAGTTTGCAAAGGGGCTACTGGAGTTGTGGGGACCTCCACCCCACCCCAACTGAAAGCTTGGTGGGGAACTTTGGCCTGTCCTCCTCCCCAGGCGAATACTGGATCGACCCCAACCAGGGCTGTACCCGCGACTCCTTCAAGGTTTATTGTAACTTCACGGCGGGGGGCGAGACATGCGTCTTCCCCAGTTGGGAATCTCGAGAGGTGAGGAGGGGGTCATGGATGGCGGGGGTTAGAACTGACCCCACTGGGGGATCTTGGGGAGCCCCAACAGTGAAAGCTGATCTCCCCGTTTCTGCCATTTGTGGGGTGGGCAGTACCAAGATGGGTACTGAAATAGGAAAGGTGGCACTCCTGGCAATGTTAGGCTGGCCCTCCTGGGGAAGGCAGAGAGCCCCATGGATCAAGCCCCATGGATCAAGCCCTCTGCAGAGGGTGGGAATGGAAGCCAAAGGGCAGAATTTGCCTTTGGGGCCCTGCTGCTCTTGGGTGCCCCCCTCTCTCTGTGGGTGAGAAAACCAAGCCACGAATGGCACAGCTAGCTTTGGCCCCTCCTGGCTTAAGAAAGACCCCCGATTTCCTAACCTCCCACTCCGTTTGCAGGTGGCAATGGCTGCCTGGGAGGAGGAGATGCCGCCGAGGTGGTTCAGCCAGTTCCAGAAGGGCCATCAGGTGAGTCCCCTGGCTGGAGGGTGGGGTCCTCCCCCTTCGTCTCTCAGGAAGGGAGGGCCCCCCTTTCCTGCACCCGAATCTCTCCTCCTGGAGGGTGTTGGAAAGACACGCAGGAAAGAGGGCTCCGATCCCAGGAGGCAGCCAGGATTCCTGGACTGGAGGGGTGCCTGACCTCCAAGCTTGTGATGGGGGAGACCACTTACTTGGGGTGGGGATCTGGAGGGGAGGCGGGAAACGGGTCTCTACCGGGAAATCCTCCTTCCATAATGGACTGCCAATGGTGGCCACTCAGTGGCTCAGTCCTTGTGCTGGGTTCACGCGACACCCCAAATTTCATTCCGAAGGACCCGGAGTGATATTTGTGAAACTTGTCAAGGCTGGTATGTATGTGTATTTGTGTGTGTGTGTGTTGTGAGGGGAGGAATTGTCTTCCTTTTTCTTGGAACTTGGTGAGTTATGCAAAAGCAAACTCGTTTGGTTGATTCTGGATAGGACACCAACACAGTAAACAGGCTTCCCCAGTGCAGGGTGCTTGCTGCGTGAAGCAGTTCCGTGCAGTGAGGTGGGGAGGGGAACCCCAAAATGGAACCCTCCACTCCATCCAGCTCACCATCCTGCTTAGGATTCGGCCTCCTCTGCTTGAGGGCAGTCACCCTTCCCCTTATCCTCATCTCCTCCTCATCCCTGGTTCCTCCCCAGTTCTCCTACGTGGATGCGGAGGGCCGCCCTCTGGGCGTGGTTCAGCTCTCCTTCCTGCGCCTGCTGAGCACCTCTGCCCGCCAGAACTTCACCTACCACTGCCAGCACTCGATCGCCTGGCACAGCTCGGGGTCCCCCACCTTGGAGGGCTACCAGCAGGCCCTGCGCTTCCGGGGGGCCAACGACGATGATCTGAGCTATGACAACAGCCCCTACATCAAGGCCCTGGTGGATGGCTGTGCGGTGAGTGCCCGGGAGGGGACAGGGATGGGGGGAACAACAACCGCAAGGGTGGGGTGGGGGACGGGACCTCAACTCAGAAATGGCGGGATGGCAGGCCTTGCATTTTTCATCCCCACATGGATCCCGAGTTCCTCCCACTACCGGCTGCTGGTGCTTCTCCCCTCCCATAGCGATGGGGGTTTGGGGCCCCTCCTTGGCTCAGCGGAGGGCAAGTGGGAGGGGGATGGATGCAGGGGGCTTCCAGGTTCAGGACAAAGCAGTTCCCACAAAGGGAGGTCCCAACGTTCCTGGTTTCCATCTTACTGACCGGTGGATGGCTGGTGTAAAGCAGGGCTCCCGGCTTCCCTATGGGGAGGGGGGAAGTGACCCACCTCCAGTGGTGACCTTTCTTTTCCTCCCCAATGCAGGCAAGGAAAGCATCCAGCGAGACACTCCTGGAGGTCAACACCCCCCAAGTGGAGCACCTGCCCTTGCTGGATGTGCACCTGATGGACTTTGGGCAGGCCGGTCAGGGCTTCGGCTTTGAGGTGGGGGCCGCCTGCTTCCTTGGCTAGAGCGGAGACCCCAGTGCAGCCGGCAGGAGTGGGACGACCACCTTCCTGGTGCCCACCAAACAACGGAGACCATGGGAAGGGTGGGGTGGGGATCAGCCAGAGGCCCAGCAACCGGAAGATCTGTGGAGTGCAGAGAAATCCCCCTACTCCCAGGGACTCACCAGCCCCCATGGAAATGTTCTCTCTGCCACCCTTGCTGCTGAATCCCCCAAAGGGCGCTGTTCCCCCCTCCCCAAATGGACCCTAACCTGCTTCAGTGCTTCCTTCCATCTATGTTGATGGAGACACCTCCCCCAAACAGCAGAGTCCCTAGCCAGCAATGGACGCCACCACACTATATCCCTCCGGAGCCCCACCCACTTCAGCCCTTTCCAGCCCCACAGAGGGCAATTTCAACCTTGCCTCCCTCCCCTTGAATTCGGCGGCAGGCTTGGTAATGGGGTGGAGTTCCCCATCATCGAAGCCCCCCCCGCACCCCCAGCCATTTCCCTCTTCTTCCTCCCCCCCCACCTTTTATCCCGCACGAAAGTAATTGGTAAGAAGAAAAAGTCCGAAGAAGAGGAAACCGTAGATTTTATTTTGTTTTTATACAAAAAAAATAATAAATTAATTATATTATTTAATGGAATCAATATTAAAAAGAACATTTTTTTCCTTGCTGCAAATTTGTAATCTTGAAAATGGATGTCTGTATGTGTGTGTGTGGGAAGGAGATGGGGGGGGGGTACAGGAGCTTGAGATCCCACTTCTGATTGCCAGAAATTTAAAGAAGTATATATTGAATTTTCTATTAAATAATATAATTAATTT